ACAACCCGCCTCGAAGAGCCTTTGCTACTTGCGGGTTGTGTTTTAATTTATTTTTGTACCCAAGTTTTTGAAATAAAATAAAGTTGTTGTTGTTGTTATTTGTATTTAGTATGTGTTGTTTTCCTAAAGGTTAAAGAGTCTTCAAAGTAATGCTGTCATGTTTTTTGACAGGGCGTTTAAATTGGATGAAGACAATGCTCTGCTGACGTACGTTAGACAGCAGTTGCTTCCACCGATGGGCCTTCCTTCTACGGGAAGGTCTCCAGTTACACAAGACAGCAGCATGGAGGAGTTAACTTATCAGCAGAATGTCAGCAAAGTGGTGCATAAGATTTCTTGCACGACATCACTTCTTAAACTCCTAGTGGAAGTAGGCTCCAAGGTAATCCAGTGAAGGTATAACCGGTACGGTTCTTTGTGTATCCAATGGCGGACTTAGAGCTTCAAATAGGTGATACTTTGCAAAACCAATCTATCAAGAGCTGCGTTCATTAAGTTGCCCCCCCCCCCCACCCCCATGGGCAACATGTTGTTCATTTTGTACAGCAGAACAATGGTTCGATTACTTACTGAATGGCTAACTGTTTCCTGCTACATTATGTTTTGTGTTACCTATGTTTAGATGACTATACAGTCATTGATGTCTTATTAAATTTGTTTACTTTGTTACACTGTGTTGGTAGGTTGATCCTTATGACTATGATACAATTGTGTTTATCCTGAAGTTGATCAAGGATTTATCACCTGAACAAAGTGCAACTGTTGATAAGGTATATTTAGATAATTAAAGCAGACTTTACTTAAGTAAATATTGGAACGCCATTTTAGCGGAGCCCCATAGCTAAGAAAATTTGGTTACCTATCCATCAATTAAATTTTGGTAGACACGTGACCGTACGTCCGCCCGCCCGCCGGCCTGTCCGTCCGCACTACAGGGAAACTCATGTGAAATGTTAAACTTTCTAGCTAGTGTGCGAGCCTGATATTACACTCTGACAGCTCTAAAAATAGGGTATCTGCTGACCAGTATCACATGCTCTTATCGCGGGCTCAGCTGTTGACCCATCGAGGTTAGGTGTTCTTTTACGTTTACCGCTGACAACTTTCTAGATTTCAAAAGAATCCCAAGCTCAACTCTTAATGTCTTTCTTAATTGCAATGTTTTTTCATTAACGGGAGATTCACCTTTAGTCTCGGCTAAATCTATATATGAAACTTTCGATATAAGTACATCAGGTAGGTGTCTGAAGTACATTTTGATCAGTGAAGCGTATTAGTCATCAAATCGTGTATCGTTATGTCTCGGTCGGAGCAGGTTCAGTGACCCATGGTGTATGATAGTCTTCAACGGAATTCAATGAAATATGCCTTCATTTGTTTTCGGGAAGGCACAGATCCTTTAAGAAAAGCCTCTACCCGTGTAAAGAGGTCATCAAACTGTCTGAGTTTCAAGAAGTCATGATTGACCTGATATTAACTGGTAGTTATTTAAAGGAGTTGGCGCCTTGTATTCGCTAGGCTTAGGATGTGCGTATAGCTGACTGTGTTGTTTTATTTCTAGGGAATTCAATTGTTAGATTACTTATATCAGTATGACCGCACTGCAACACCGACCAGTTATGAGAGATCTTTTCACTACTCATCAAAAAATACGGACAACGAAAAGGTAAGAAACCTGATATTCCCCACTCCCTAAACTCTAAGGCGACTGGGTACATGCTTTCGGCGCAAGGATTCCTGGGATCACTGCATCCAAAGCTCCAACCCATTCTGCCTAGAAGTACATTTACGAATGTACCTTTTACTGCTTAAGCGTCTTGTCAGTGTATTCTATTTATTCAAATAAATAGGTATTTATGCATAAACTTGTTCTAACTTTGCGTCTTTGTAAGACTGCCTATCGTGTAACCATTCATTTCAAACCTCCTCAGCTGTACATTTGTCCAGCATCATTTGCTTGGCAATAATGTGCGAAGTGAAATCTCTTCTTTTTTTCGCAGACAATACTTGAAAAAGAGAGACCACTATCTCCACTGTCAAAATCCAGGCTCCCATATCATCCTCTGCTCTATGGGGATCCATGGAAAGTTATTGGTAAGCGATTGTCGTTGATTGGGTAGGCGTTATGTTGCTAACTTACGCCTCCGCTTTGTATGAGTCACGGAAAAGTGTAATGGTTGTTTGAAACAAACTTGATTGTATGTCTTTTAGCTCCTTGTTTTTATACTATTTGGTTTCTAAAAAACGTCTGCTGTGGTTCTATCTTTCTATCATGAATTGCAGGTCCAGAGCTGTCAGAGGAAACAGTTCCAAAGCTTCTGGGCATTGCGAACTTACTGAAGGTTAGTTTGTGCAACTTTTGATGGCACTTTTTTTTTTCTGTAAATTCAATAAGCAATTTTTTACGTTGATTATGATAAGGTGATAAGTTTTCCAAACGTTGTTAAACAAGAACTTCGTGTGAAACCTTTACTTGCTTAAACTGCTTAAATGTTGGAAAAACGTTCAATGTGAAGACTGTGACAGTTGTCTTGCCTAGCCCCTATAGGCCTCATCATTGCACGCGGCCTATACGTTTTTGATCACGTTGTCCGTTCGTCTCGGAAACGTCACCAAAATTCGTTAACCGAGGAGGCCTAGGACTAGGCATACAATTGTCCTTAGATGAAGGAAACAGGGAGCTTTAGCAACGACAACGGCGACGTCAACGAGAACGTCAAAACGACCACTTTGCACCTGCAGCACACTTTTTTGTATATTTCTTTGCCGTCACTGCACGACTACGACGTGAAATCCTCTCATGCGATGTTTTATGGAGGACGCAAATTCACCACGACTAATTTTTTCCTTCTCTTTCTAAATTTGGGTTCGGTCTCCAAAAATTCAATTCCAGGAAAATTCTCCTATATTTGACATTTTAAGCAAGTTGGAATAATCGCGACAAAGTTTTAAAAAAAGGAAGTCTTGTTAATACGTTTTCGCTGCCGTCATCGATATACCCTCCTAATATGGGCGTGTTCATGGCGTGGAGACTATTCTTGAGTAATCAGGACCATAATAAGAGTTTAAAGTTGTTGTTATTTTGTTCTAGCTCTCCAGCGATCAGCTTTATTTAACAGCCATCCGTAACCTTGCTCGACCTTCAGCTTCACCAACTGACTCCAGTGATACTAACTTGAGTGGAATCACTTGTGAAGAAAAAAGCCAACTGGCCAAATCCTACAATAGTGAAAAGGCTAAGAGTATGCTCTACTCTATCAAAAACAAAGAAATGGCTATCGCTGCTGCTAAGTGGATCGCTCAGCAGCTTCCACTGGGTCTGTACACTGTTTTCCTTGTCTGTTTTCCCAAGTATATGTCGGGTAAACGAGCCAATAACACCAATACATTTTTTCTGTCGTTTCTCTCCTAGATGAAGAAAAAATAGATATACTGAAGACTTGTGTGGATCTTGCAATGGCCTGGAAGTCTTCGTGTTCTCAGAAGGTGATCTTTTCTTAAAACAGAATTTAAGTATCCCGCTTGCCCTCATTTTATCATAGCTTTGGGAAAATAATCATGACGAAGAGCTGGGTGTTCTTTTTCACAAATGGCTAACGGTTTTGAATTGTCAACTGATTTTTTTCCGTTACGGTCAACGGTGGCACATTTACTTTTCACTTTGTTTGATCATGCAGTGCATCACTTTCGTGAAAAGCTGACCAGCTTATTTTACCCACCCAATCCACCTGTTGCATCCACTTGACCCTTACTAACACCCTTATTGTGATACTTCCTGCAGGATGAAGAGAAAGCAAAGCTTACTCACAGCCGGCTGTTGGAGCTGTGTCGGGGCGTGGCCACAGAACATGTGCTCCACAAGTACAACATCACAGACCCTTCCATTGTTTCATTAACAAGTAAACCAGCTAAGCTTATTTGCCAACTGTATGAGACGTTTGGTGCAAGGGAACCAGGCACTGCTCATCATCCGCCAGGTACTGGTACTAGTCCAACTGTGGGAATTCGAGCTTCCTTCCATTTGCGTCAGCCACATGTAATTACTTCGAGTTTTGATTGGTTCAATGTATTGTCTGTGTCCTATGTGATTGGCCAGAGTAATTACTTTGGTTTTGGTTTTACGACACTCAAACGAAAACCACTCTAATGTGCGTGTGTTTTTATTTTTGTAGAATCAAAAGCAGTTGAAAGTGGCGAAGGAGAGACTCAAAGCTCTTCTTATTTAATGCTGACCAGTGCGGCCGGGTTGAATATAATACGACATTTGCAAGAGAACAGTTTGTGCGAATTGTCATTACAATACTTATTTGAGGTAAGTGTTGCAAGTGTTATCGTTACAGACTTCAAGCAACTGCAACGGCGACCTCAAGGAAATAATCGCTCAAAAAAAGAGTCGGAAACGTTTGGATTTCTTTGAAAGTGGTCCCATCTGTTTTATCTGCTTCACGTGAAGGAATTTTTCCAGGAAATGAATTAGTTGTGACGGCTGTGAATCTCGTTGTATTCTAAAGCAGTTGAAAGCCTCGATAATTAACCGCTCGCGTGTTTCCGTGTTTTTGAAAAACATGGATTGCTAATGAGCATCTACTGACGCGATTAAATTATTCTTGTTATACTGTTCCGTATAAATTCAATAATATAAAAACTATAGTAAATGTCATAAGACGCCACAATTTCATTCTGTACTCCTAATGCACGTTATATTCGTATAAAACTGATTAAAATTTATTTTCTTCCCTTTAGACCCTTGGTCTCTGTCTTCAACACTTCGCAGTAAACAACATGCTCAGTATGGGAAAGGTGACTATACTATGCATTTCATACAGTCAAACTCTGCTTTAACGCTGTCACTGAAATGTATCCGTATCAGGTTCCCTCGCTAATACCTTTTGTTGGGACAAAAGTAAAGAATGCCGTTTATTTGGATTCATTTCATGTTTCAATATTTTCAAGTGTTTGTTGATTTTCTTCACTGTTTTCTTTTCGTCTAGGAAAGCGGAAGAAGCAATTCTGTCGAAAAACAGAGGCTAACTAAAATTGCTGCCTTGGGTACAAAAATGATCCATGAACTAACTGGAAATCTCTTGAGAAAGGTGGATAATAATATTGCATTCACTTAAAAACCCGAGAAAATTTCTCCCCAACGTTAGCATTTCACCTTCTGGTAATTTGAGGCTTGGCTTGAACAACGTCCAATATTAGCAACATTAACCCCGTAAACTTATTTCTTAACAAAGCATCTGCTTATCAAGTATTTAAACAGTTACATTGTACTAAAAAACAGAATGAAACAGAACCTGAGATCTATGTCAAGAGCACCCATAAATGAGCATAAGCGACATCATAAATGGATTGGGTCTATTAACTTGTTTGAGGGTAGAATTAATCTCGTTTTGCTTGGATTGGTTGGCACACATTGCGAAGGATATTGAAACAAATGAGGTCTTCAGGAAATGCTCAGGTAGATGTTTGTTGAGAATGAACTGACGGGCTTAAGTAAAAATCCCGATACTCAAATCAAAACCGGTCTGCAATACAGGTTTAAGGCATCTCAATCCATAATTCTAGACCTTGTCCAATCTTTAATTGACATGATAAATTAAATTACTGCTGCGTTTGCCTATTTTGTTTAATTTGACACTTTTAGTTCCCAAAGTCCGTTCATTAGAGTAGTGTAGCCGCTTTTTCAATACATAGCGGACTGAACTTGAACTTTCTCGTCGTTCCAGGTATTTAACTGCAGAACTGTCGACCATGATATTGGACTTGGCTATCTTTGCTCCATTCCAAAGCAGACAGCTTTTCAATACTTAGTGACTGGAACGAATTTTCTTGGTCAAAGCTGTTCAAAAATCCTGGTAAGAATGCTAAGGGAAGAGTGAGTTGGACGTGCAAAAACACAGTTCGTAGATACGTAGACAGAACGTAGATAGTCTGGGAGAAATGTGTAGCCTAGCCCACCCTTCTTACTTTGTGCCATATATCGTAATGGAATTTCATTAACACCACAACCAGCCATTCTACTATATCCAAAGCATATTATATGCGACTGCGATGCCTTGGTGACCTTTAAATCAGCTGGTTAATTTTTGAAAGTTTTTAATTGCAGTAAATGGGGAGTATTCCATAGCCCTAAAGGAACAACAATGTACCACTCAATTGTTAATACGATTAACGAGAACATCAAAATTATTAAAAAATTCTTATAGAAAATTCATTGCACTATATTCAAAACATATTACGTCTGACTGCAATAGAGTACTAAAGTGTGACGTCATAAAAGTAAAATTTCTGAAATTATGGGATTTGTCAGGATATTCTGAAAGAACAATGTCCAAGAGGCCTACTTGCCAAAAATGAGCATTTGGGGGCAAATTGTCGCTGAGATCGTAGCCCAGTTATGCTTAGAAAACTCCATACAAACCCTTCTAAATTTTTTTTGGGTCGACCCAAAAAAATTTTAGATTTTTTTTAAATGCTCATTTTTGGCAAGTAGACCTCTTGGACATTGTTCTTTCAGAATATCCTGACAAATCCCATAATTTCAGAAATTTCATTTTTATGACGTCATCACTTTAGTACTCTATGCCCTGGTAACATTTAAATCACCTGTTTAGTGTTGGATGGTTTTTCATCGCAATAGAGACCATTCCGTAGCCCTAAAGGAACAACAACTACCAAACAATTAATATATTGTCCTGTATCATTACTTACTATTCAAGGCTTTTGCCAATGTTGGCGTTGACTACGCCCAGTTATGTAATGAGCCAGCAGTACTCGAAAAGTGTCAAGACATAGCCACGAACGCATCCTGGGGAGTCAAACTCGGAAGGCTGAAGGTAAGGAAAGTTGAAGATGGTGCCTCCTCTTTTGGCTGTAGGGGCTTAGTGGGTCTTCTAAATGTTTGTTTTTTCGTTCGCTAGATGTCACTTAAGGATGTATACAAGAGTGATCGAGAGGAAAAGCTGGCAATTTTACCAGACCTCATGCAGAATTCACAGATAGACCTTGATATGATCTTAGAGTTTTGCAGGTAGATGCTTGTGATACGTTGCGTGTGTATATATGCGTTAAACTCATACGTGGAAGTTATCTGTGGATAAAAACTTTTAAATCTAAAAGAAAACATGTTGGGTATTTTTTTCTTAGGTCAAACAAAAATGCAGTCGAACAGGTCTCTTTTATTGACATCTCCTTGATTACAGTTTCATACCACTCACATACTTTCCATACCTCTATGACATGGCTTCTTCCATGGGCCACTCAGATCCGCTCAAAGGGAGTTTGACTGTAAGAAGGTTATCAATAGAACGCACGTAAAAGGAACTTTCTGTGGGTCACCCGCGTAGACTGTTTTTATTTTGGTGAGGGAAAGGGGGTGAAAGCAGGCGTATTATCGACTGTTTCTTAGCTCTGACGTCTTAAAATACAACATGTCTTTTTGAGTAACCAGTACCCTGTGGGCCTAGACTTCGTTTGAGCAAACTCGTTTGAGCTCAATTTTTACAGGTGTCCCCCCCTGAGTGTCATACTGGATTATACTCAGCCCTCTTTGCACGATGATTGCATGAGACTCTCCTAAAGGACCAAGACCAATATCTTGAACCGCTCACCATTCTACAAAGACTGACTTTCTTTCAGTATCTCACTTTGCTTGTAAAGCATGCATACTTAATTTTACCATTTTTCGGGTAATTAATTGAACTCTTTTGTCTGACCTAATTAATCTTCCTTTTTCTTATAATACTTTTCTTCTTTACATTTTATTTTACGAATCTACCTAATCATTTATTTATATTTATTTTTACACAACCCGCCTCGAATAGCCTTTGCTACTTGCGGGTTGTGTTTTACTTTATTTTTGTACCCAAGTTTTTGAAATAAAATAAAGTTGTTGTTTTTGTTATTTGTATTTAGCATGTGTTGTTTTCCTAAAGGTTGAAGAATCTTCAAAGTAATGCTGGCATGTTTTTCGACAGGGCGTTTAAATTGGATGAAGACAATGCTCTGCTGACGTACGTTAAACAGCAGTTGCTTCCACCGATGGGCCTTCCTTCTACGGGAAGGTCCCCAGTTACACAAGACAGCAGCATGGAGGAGTTAACTTACCAGCAGAATGTCAGCAAAGTGGTCCATAAGATTTCTTGCACAACATCACTTCTTAAACTACTGGTGGAAGTAGGCTCCAAGGTAATACAGTCAAACTTTGTATATACAATGGCGGACTTTGAGCTTCAAATAACATGGGACGCCCGCTCTTCAGGACCCTAAGATTAGAGGTGGGGCAGGGCTCGAAAAAGGACTTGAATTGTAGCTTCTCCTTTGGGCAAGCAGCTCTCCCATTTTGCTAATTAATAGGATGACTTTCCTGTTCCCTTGCACATCGGGCAAGAAAGCCTTAAAGGTTACTTGCCTCGCAAGAAAATTTACTTGTCCCGGGCTACCGGACGTCACTTCTTTCGAGCTTTCGGAGTGGGGGTGGGGGAGAACTCCGCCTCGAAAATAATTTTTCTCGGCCCTGCGGGCTTTAGTTTGGCCTTAAAATAAGTTGGGTTGATACTTTGCAAAATCCATCAAACAACATCAAACAGGAGCTGCGTTTATAAAGTTGCCGCTCCCCCCCCCCCCCCCCCCCNACTTTGTTTCAATGTGTTGGTAGGTTGATCCTTATGACTATGATACAATTGTGTTTATCCTGAAGTTGATCAAGGATTTATCACCTGAACAAAGTGCAACTGTTGATAAGGTATATTTAGATAATTAAAGCAGACTTTACTTAAGTAAATGTTAGAAAGCCATTTTAGCGGAGCCCCATAGCTAAGAAAATTTGGTTACCTATCCATCTAAGAAATTAAGTCACCTGACGGTACGTCCGCCCGCACCACAGGGAAACCCATGTGAAATGTCACACTTTCTAGCTAGTGTGCGAGCCTGATGTTGCACATTGACAGCTGTCAATATAGGGTATCTGCTGACCAGTATCACATGACCTTATCGCGGGCTCAGGTGTCTACCCATCGCATTAGCGCTGACTACTTTCTGGTTTTCAAAAGAATCGCAAGCTCCACTCTGATTGGATTTCTTTATCGCAATATTTTTTCATTAACGGGAGATTAGCTAGCCTTTAGCCTAGATGTCTGAAGTACATTTTGATCAGTGAAGCGTATTACCCATCAAATCGTGTATCGTTAAAAGCATGTCTCGGTCGGAGCAGGTTAAGTGACCCATAGTGTATGATCGTCTTTACGGGAATTCAATGAAGTGTGCCTTCATTTGTTTTCGGGAAGTCACAAATCCTTTAAGAAAAGCCTCTACCTGTGTAAAGAGGTCGTCAAACTGTCTGAATTTCAAGAAGTCCTGATCGATCTCATATTAGTAGGTAGTTATTTGTATTCGCTAGGCTTAGGGTTTGTGTATAGCTGACTGTGTTGTTTTATTTCCAGGGAATTCAATTGTTAGATTACTTATATCAGTATGACCGCACTGCAGCACCAACCAGTTATGAGAGATCTTTTCACTACTCATCCAAAAATACGGACAACGAAAAGGTAAGAAACCTGATATTCCCCACTCCAGAACCTTAAAGGGGACTGGGTACAAGCTTTCGGCGCAACGATTCCCGGGATCGTTTGGGTGGACTATCGTTACTTATAATTGGTTAATAGTTGGCTTGAATACCATCGACCAATCATAACTAACGCTTGTCCACCCAAATGATCCCAGAAATCACTGCACCGAAAGCTCTTAGCCATTCTCCCTAGAAGTACATTTACAAGCTTACCTTTTACTGCTTTAGCGAGATGTCAGTGTATTATATTTATTCAAATAAATAGGTAGAAGAATCTTCACGTAGTCGGTACTATTATTTGTGCATAAACTTGTTCTAACTTTGTGTTTTTGTAAGACTGTCCATCGTGTGACCATTCATTTCAAACCTCCTCAGCTGAACATTTGTCCAGTATTATTTGCTTTGCGAAGTGAAATCTCTTCTATTTTTTCGCAGACAATACTTGAAAAAGAGAGACCACTGTCTCCGCTGTCAAAATCCAGGCTCCCATATCATCCTCTGCTGTACGGGGATCCATGGAAAGTTATTGGTAAGCGATTGTCGTTGATTGGGTAGGCGTTATGTTGCTAACATACGCCTCTGTTTTGTATGGGTCACGGAAAAGTCTAATGGCCCTTCAACAGAGAAGTCTTAAGGATTAATGGTCGTTTGAAACAAACTTGATTGTATGTTTTTAGCTCCTTGTTTTTATGCTATTTGGTTTCTAAAAAACGTCTGCTGTAGTTCTATCTTTCTATCATGAATTTCAGGTCCAGAGCTGTCAGAGGAAACAGTTCCAAAGCTTCTGGGCATTGCGAACTTACTGAAGGTTAGTTTGTGCAACTTTTGATGGCACTTGTTTCTTTCTGTAAATTCAATAAGCAATTTTTTACGTTGATTATGATAAGCTGATACGTGTTCCAAACGTTGTTAAACAAGACCTTTGTCGCAAAACCTTTACTTGCTTAAACAGCTTAAATGTTGGATAAACGTTCAATGTGAAGACTGTGACAATTGTCGTACCTAGTCCCTAGGCCTCATTATTGCACGCGGCCTATGCGTTTCGGGTCACGTGGTCCGTTCGTCTCGGAAACGTCACCAAAATTCGTTAACTGAGAAGGCCTGGGACTAGGCATACAATTGTCCTTAGATGAACAAAATAGGGAGCTTTATCAACGCCAAAGGCGAAGGCAACGAGAACGTCAAAACAACAACTTTGCTCGTGCAGAACACTTTTTTTGTACGACTTCAACATGAAATTCTCTCGTGCGATGTTTTATGGCGGACGTTAATTCACCACGACGAATTCTTTCTTCTCTTTCTAAACTTGGGTTCGGTCTCCAAGAATTCAATTCCAGGAAAATTCTCCTATATTTGGCATTTCAAGCGAGTCGGAATAATCGTGACAAAATTTGAAGAAAAGCGACGTCTTGTTAATAGTGACGTTTTCGCTGCCGTCGTCGATGTGCCCCCTAATATGGGCGTGTTCAGGGCGTGGAGACTATTCTTGAGTAATCGGAACCATAATGAGAAGTTGTTGTTATTTTTTTCTAGCTCTCCAGCGATCAGCTTTATTTAACAGCCATCCGTAACCTTGCTCGACCTTCAGCCTCACCATCTGGCTCTAGTGATGCTAACTTGACTGGAATCACCGCTGGAGAAAAAAGCCAATTGGCCAAATCCTACAATAGTGAAAAGGCTAAGAGTATGCTCTACTCTATCAAAAACAAAGAAATGGCTATCGCTGCTGCCAAGTGGATCGCTCAGCAGCTTCCACTGGGTCTGTATACTGTTTTCCTTGAATGTTTTCCCAAGTATATGCCGGGTAAATGAGCCAATAACACCAATAATTTGCCTGTCGTTTCTTTCCTAGGTGAAGAAAAAATAGATATACTTAAGACTTGTGTGGATCTTGCAATGGCGTGGAAATCGTCGTGTTCTCAGAAGGTGATCTTTTTTTAAAATAGATTTTAAGTATCCCGCTTGCCCTCATTTTATCATAGATTTGGGAAAATACGTCTTCAAGCAACTTTTAGTTAATCTGACGAAGAGCTGGGTGTTCTTTTTCACAAATGGCTAACGGTTTTGAATTGTCAACTGATTTTTTTCCGTTACGGTCAACGGTGGCACATGTACTTCTCAAACTCATTAATAATTCATAAAGAAAATACAAAGGAAATTAATGTTTAATGAGTGTTTGGATATCAGATGAAAAACTGCTCATTTTTGCATCCTTAATTTCTCCTTCAAAAATCATTTTGTTTGAGAAGAAATATCAAACATTCGACACAGTGTTTCATCATCAGATGAAACACCTCGAAGTTCGTCAAAAATACTCCGCTGCGCGTCGTATTTTCAACTCTCTTCTCGGTGTTTCATCTGGTGATGAAACACTGCATCTCATGTTTGATATATTACTTGTCACTTTGTTTGATCATGCAGTGCATCACTTTAGTGAAAAGCTGACCAGCTTATTTTACCCACCAAATCCACCTGTTGCATCCACTTTACCCTTACTAACACCCTTATTGTGTTACTTTCTGTAGGATGAAGAGAAAGCAAAGCTTACTCACAGCCGGCTGTTGGAGCTGTGTCGGGGCGTGGCCACAGAACATGTGCTCCACAAGTACAACATCACAGACCCTTCCATTGCTTCATTAACAAGTAAACCAGCTAAGCTTATTTGCCAACTGTATGAGACGTTTGGTGCAAGGGAACCAGGCACTGCTCATCATCCGCCAGGTACTGGTACTAGTCCAACTGTGGGAATTCGAGCTTCCTTCCGTATTCCAATTTTTTCACTCGAATAAATATTCTCTCTCCCACACAATAGTCGTCACGCTTAATAACCAAAAGATTCAATCAACATATTTCAGAGTGGAACTTACTCACTGATTTCTGCTGGAACCATTTTTGTGTACCGTATTTTTTTCTTTTGGTATATTTGTCCATATTGCTTCTGCTTGATATTGGGGTGGTTTAGACTTGCCGTTCTGCATAGTTCTTGCTCGTCCAACATGGGATCACACAGTCCAAGACGGACATTACCATACCCACGGGGCGTCGATATTACCTATCCAACATCAATTTTAACAGCCTCGCATTGAGCCTGAAATTCCCATTTTTTTGGATTTCATCTTAGGTCAATGACTTCAAGCCTATGCAACCTGGTGACGGTTTTGCAAAGTTTTCTTTTAGAATTTATTTTTGTCATGACTTTTTTCTCTTGTAGATATCCACAAAGCGTCAGAAGAAATCGCCAATGTCAACAACACTAAAATAGAGAAGATCAGACTGCATTTGATAGAGGTTTGATTATGTAGTCACTATTTGTTTGAATGTTTAAAAGAGATGGTCGGTTCAAAAGGACGAATACTCGTATAGATTAAATTATTATTCCATTAGCGCTTGTGATCGTCTTATCAACTTTTACTTCGTATACGAAATCATGAAACTTTCTGCTTGACCATGATTTTAACCCTGAGCTTTGGGATGTTTAGACGAAACACTCCATTCAATTGAAGTAATCAAGCTATTGAATTCAAGAGCAGCCGAGTTGTTAATATACGCGAGGATGGCGAGTAATTGATATGTATAAGATCCTGCTCTCTAGGCTTAAGAGAGTTACTCTCTCCCCCTTAGTAAGCCCCAGAAGTGTTTCAACCTTAAAGTGTAAAATTACAACCGCTTTTACTATCTTTGCAACCACCCTTTAAGGCTTGGTATATCCTACTAAGGTTTTGCCACAGATTGCCTGTGTTTCTGGTTCAGAATGCTTATGATATGTTGGTCCTCTACTTCATAGAAATGGTTACCTTCTTCAAGTCAATCTTCAGGAGGAGACTCAGAGGTATTTTAAAACTAAACTGGAATAATTGCAATCTGGGGCAGAGATTGCCTTTGATGTTGCACATTTATGCTGTCACAAAACCCCTTATTGTTACTCTTTATTGGGGATCGAACCGTAAATCACATTTTCCTCCCTGCACAATAGTTTATCTACTTTGGCACTTGATATTAATGCAAAAAGTACTTTCAACGTTAATTCTTTGATACCTTTAGTAAGCTCCTGTTTCTTCAAATTAAGTTCTTTGGTGGCAATAAAATATTTTTCTCTCTGAATTCTCACCAAAGTCATGATCATTCCAAAAAATCAGCAATGTGCATTCAATGTTTCAACGATAGTTTTGTTTCTGCCTGTAAATCAGTGACACCATTTATTTACACAACCTTAAACTATTCTTTATCCTTAGTTTGGCACCCCTGGCGGCGACGAGAGTGATGAGAATGAAGAAGATGAACACAACTTAAGAAGGTATAGTGTCATTAAAAGCAAATTATGTTAGTTTTTTTTTTCGCGTTCTGACAAAGGGTACGTTAAAGGAGGAACTCACTCCCGAAGGCATGCCAGTGTGTCCGGCACCAAAGTGCATGGTCTCCGCCCTTTATCTTTGAAAATAGGTCTCAGACATTTGCCTGTCTGTTTCAGCGTCTGGTCTATGCAGCACGCTATTATTTCTCACTGTGAAGTCATTGCCCCCTCCCCACCCCTTTGCAAGAAACGCTGGTTAAGGGATGTCTGTATTCTTTTTCTTTTTGGTTTTGTCCAGGGTGATATATATCATGCAAAGCACTGACCAACAAACTGCTGTCCGATTTCTGCTCAATCTTGCTAACAAGGTGAGATAATTGAACTTAAACAATGTTTCGTTTAATATTCGAGTGTATTTTCACAGTAACATAATTAACTGGTGACATATATGTAGATGGCGTACATAACGGTCAAGTCGTAGCAGATAACATGTATGTCATACCTGAGAACTAAAATAGCGTGACTGATTGTTTCCGAGGCTCCAACAATGCGACAGACTGAATACCTTACTAACACTAACTACAACCACACTGCATTACCATTCTGAAACTACACTATGGTCAAACACCATCACTGGCAACAGATGGTCAACGAGTGACACTAGAGTCATAATTCGACGTTTTAACCTCCAAAGTGTGCTTATTCTAACCCCGAGTTATCCTTTTGACTTGGGGTTATTACCCTTCAAAACGCGAAACGTTGAACTGCAGGAATAAGACCATGGTGTAGTTGCATAATTTCTGTCCTTTCTTTTCATATACTTTTCTTGTTTTGCTATTTTAGACGGGTTCGTCAAGTACCTGTCGTGTCCGTGCTCTTCGTGCTCTATTCTCCATTGCTCCTGGAGAGTTTATTGAAAAGCTTTGTAACACATCAATTTCTGTAATCAGGTGAGAAAAAGAGAGACTGTTAAATAGTTATCAAGAGGCTACTATTGATTTATACCTCGAAATTATATTAAGTGTCACCTTCCACAGAGAAAGGACAAATGTCAAGGTGAATTCTTGAAGAATTGCATGTTGTTGTGATTTGCAAAAATGTTACCAACAATACTTTCCTCTTTGGAGGCTCTTACATTTGTATAAACGTTGCTTCTAGATTGGTTTGGCCATTAAACTTTATTTTGAGTAAAACATCTTGACATACGGTAGCCTTGGCATTTAACCGTGTCTCAAAGCTCTTGTTGGTGGGTACCTTGTGTATCGAGACACGAATTTTTCTGATATGTATCGCACAATATCTGACGTCAGTACAGAAAGTATCCTCATGATCTATCCTCATACACCACGTACCTAACGCTCGTATCTTGCCGCCGCTGACAGGCAACAGATGCAGGCTTTGGTTTGCCTGGCGGAACTTGAAGGACTGCATATCCAGCAGTCAGCCAGCGCCTTTGACAAGTGTAACAAAGAAGGACTGGTACGAGGGTTGTGGCGAAATCATAAACACGAGAGAAAGGTGTGTTATGACAACAACAACAACAACAACAACAACAACAACGACAAACTTTATTAATAAACAGATAATGTTACAGAAGCATTGCGCACAGCTAGCAAGGCTGTTTGAGGCAGGACAATGCGTGCAAAATATGAAATTAAGACTACGGCTAACTAAGGAAAGTTTACACTTGGTTTTTTTTTTTTAGTTTCTTTGTTCCGGTCACAGTTGAAAAATAGTTAAAAGATTTAACAGAAATTTAGTAAGAAGCCGGGATTGATCGAGAACTCGGCCGACCAGTACGCACGCGGTACCAGTCTCCAGTAGAGAGACTCCACTTTGTCAGTAGAGTCTTGAAATATCCTCGAATTCTATTCTCCCATGAAAACATTACTTCATTTTTTTCCATTGGAAAGAGGATTTTGCAAGGATTTGGATGTCTATATTTCACGTCCTTGAATACCATTGATTCCCAAACAGTATTCTTCCAATATATTTTACACGTTATCGTTAGGCTCAAATAGTGGCTTCTACACTGGAAAGCAATCAACAATTCATTTGTCTAAAGTGTTACTGCTTCTGGGGTTAAATACCTGTTAATTAGCAAGTATAATTATTGTTTTAATGTTATGTATCAGCCTCAGTTCTTCTCTTTAATTAACCTCCCAATGAATTATTTGGTTACCTGTACTGAAAAGTCTTAATACCAAAAATTAATCGTAACATCTTAACTTGAAGAAAACATCTAAAAGGGGGATCGTTAGTAAGAACAAGACGCGCCGATAAAAGAACCAAGAAAACGTCTTTATGTTACGCTACCCTTTTCAGGCTGTTCGTCTTGTAGCAGATTTGTGTCTGGATAACAGTATACACGACCCACAGCTATGGAACAGTGTTCTTCAACAACTGTTGGCTTTTGGAATGGTAAGTGAGCATACCCCACCTGATCAGCTGATAAACTGTGAGGTCGATATGGACTGACTCACTCGCTAGCAGGCTAACTAACAAACCACTGTAGGAGGATAGAAAAGCTGACCTTTGGCGCTATAGCTCGTAACCAGAGCGAATCGCTACGGTGGTCAATCTACCTTACCAACTCCGGTGATAAAATCAAATCTTTTATCTTTATATTTCACCCCCTCCCTGCACCGACTCAGCACCACAGTTTTCTTACAAACTAAGCCCTTCATTTAACTGACAGAGCAGCTGATCAGTTTTTGGACATAATGCGTGACTGGTTGACTGACTGGGTGGATGCTAAGACATGATCCATAGGCTAGAGTTAACAGAGCCCATCCTCGGAGACGAAGGGGCGGTCAGCGGTCAGTAGGATGAACAGAACCGTCGTTATGAAGAAAGGTCAAGAACGTGGCACACTTGTATGAAACTGAAAAAAAAAACGAAGTGTCGTTTAAAATCTTAGTTTGATCGTGTCGGTTTTCTTCTCTCTCTTTTAGATAAAGTATCTTAGGCGTGTTCTAGTAAACTTGGCAGGGATCTCGGAGCTCTGGCAGGTGAGTGTTATGGGATAAACACTGCCCTATGAATAGTCCAGTGCTAAATTTGGCAAACTGTATTTGTTATTGTCGCTTGAGTAAAATTTTGGGAGTCACGAGGTTCTCAGTAACCTCTGTTTTCATTGCCTGTAAAAAAAAAACACCTGTTTTTTGGGCTAGCAGCATTGTGTCAGCCATTCATCCAATGTTTTTCGTTTTTTTTTTTAACCAATAGGACAACTCTTTCACCATTTTCACGTTTTTTACCCCGGCTTTCTCTTGGGACGACTGTAATACCCAGGGAGATTTGAGACAATGGTTATTTGGATGGTAACTAAGGTGTATTATGAGCAAATGTGAAAATGGTCAATTTCCGATGTGATGTCTGCTTTGAAATCGTGAAATAAAGGGAGAACTTCGACTTCAGTGTGAGTTATTATAACACAACTGGCGTTTTACTTTGAGATTGGAATTACGCGTTTTTCTCTAGCTCTTATACAGTCAAACCTCCACTAACGGTACTAACGGCCACCTTTTCTCGACGACCACTATTTTTGTCTCGGCCAATAGATTTACTCACCTACCCCTCCCCTAACCAAATGTTAACACTGCTTTCTCACAAAGGACAAAATTTTGAATTAGGGGAAGGGTAGGTGGACAGTTTCCTAGAATATTCTATTTATCCATCGAATGTGTAACTGCCTACTCCGTTTAGGTTCGTTGTTTGCCTCAGGTGTGGAGAAGTGTTTTGACGGCACCTTTCAAGTCAGGTAAGCCATGGCATACCGGATTGTATGGAGATTTTCTGCGGTAAAAATGTGATCGGATGTTATTGTCCTGCAATAAAAAGAAAAAAAAGAACGTGCGCTTGAAACGTAAGAAAAGGAAACGAACAAAACAAAAAAAAAGTAATAAATAAAGACGCATCGTTTATGCAAGCCAAAGCTTACATGTTCTTGCGACGGAAACTGGCTGATCATTTCATAGTGGTCTGACTGAGTCCCAAATCAATTTTCACTTTTGTTTTTTCACCCCATTCGTTTTTGACTGGGACAAATGAACTTGCTCAGACATCTGCTGACAACTCGCTTTGTTACCTAGCTGGCAGAATATTGCACCTTTACAGTGAAGGTTATAGGTTTGTTACATTGAAAAATGTCTTAATTGTAATTTTACTTTATTTCAGTTTCCTCTCCGTTATCCGACGAAGAGGTGATTGCCTGCGAAGAATCTGCATCGTTACTTCAAAGGTGTGCGATGTTTTATTGTCAAGTGTAACATCCTCATCAAAATTCCCATTATATTTTTTTAGTTTGTTTTCATAGGCAACAACCATTTCCAGATATTTTACACTTTACGGACAGTTTGTACCCAACTAAAATAAGTCCGCCGTTGAAAACTGTCCGACCAAATTTCTGAGGGTACAATGTACATATATGGAGGACACCTTTTGTCCCTGTAGAAAGGGAACAAACGTTTTCTGAGTAGCCACCCAAGGAAAACTGCAATAGAGTGCATCACGAGGTGTCTGTGATTGACATGCAATTTCCTCTGGCGCACATCTAATTGACCTAATAAGTAGCCCGTGCTACCTTTGCTTGAACACACACTTAACCTCCACGCTTATTGGCGTTTAATGAGTAAATGAATATTTCAATGATTTCTTTTTTCTTTCAGGTGTCCTCTGCTGCTTGATCTGGATGTGTATTCCATAGCTGTTCAGTTTCATAAAGTTGGTCTCCAGGCCCACGCACTCGCCTGTCTCATGCTCATCCCATCAAGCATTGCGCGCCAAAAACATGTTCAGGTTTAACCCGTCTTCTGGTTTACCTTTTCATTTGGTCAAATTTTGCTCCTGTCATTTTGTTGTATTCGCATATGAATTTAAAGTGAGAAGGCAGCAAGTCCGATTCCAATTGGTTCCACAATCATAAACCATTTGTTCTTGTTAAACTTACTTATTTGGGCAGTTTCAGTTCTGCATACACGGTTCAGGTAAAGAAGAAGAGTTCTTTAACAGGCAAGGTGTGTTACAGCTATTTTCACTATTTTCCCTTTGTTGTTTTGAAGCTTTTACCCTTTGTTTTGTTTGTAGACCTTACTGGAGACAAACTGCGTTACTCGTGTACTTACTCAGTTGGATGAACTACGGCAGAGAGGACGCACCATCACCCAGGCTGATATTGTAAGCCGGAGACTACTTTGCTGTTTGAGCACTTCAGTTTTTTTAACACACGTGGATAAGTGGATTCGCTACTTAGAAACGGGCAGGAAACTGGAGCCGAAATGTGTCAGCCCGCAATTGTTTCTGGGATCATTACTGGTAACGTGGCAGTCAGCTATTGGCCAATTTCAGTAACAGTCCCAGAAGTACTTGCGAACTGTAACTTTGGCAAGTTTCCTTCTCAGTAAGTGTGGTGGTGTTTATGTTTCTGTACGAAGTCCGTGGATGAAATCCTCGTGTGTGACTAGTCAGATGTAGTCAAGTCATTTTAAGTCAATTTTTATTTTAACTCACTCAGAGCTGAGATTTTTACTTGATTGTTTATATGTCTTCAGGTTGAACAAGAAGTGTTCAAACATGTTGAAGAAAAGCAAGGGTATCAGGTCAGAACTGAAATTTACTGCCACGTAACCTAAATGAATAAAAAGTAACTAATGATTGAGAAGTAGCACACCCTTTGAAATTTGAAAATGTTGGTTATGAGGAGAATAGAAAACCAGAGTAGTAGGAGGGAAACTTCTTGTAGCAGAAAAGAGAACCGACAACAAATTAAACCCACGTTTGGCGTCGCTTCCTGGATTCGAACCCAGGCCACATTGTTAGCAGGCGAGTCAGTGCTGTAAGCTCCGCGCCTAGTTCAGACTGCACCTGTAATTAGTTAATAAGATATATGCGGATGGATTTTCTTCTAAGTCGTCTTGGTCTTTTTCAGATCCTGCTTGGCACATCGTACTTTGACAAGTTCCTAAGCTTCCTAATTGTTAATAAAACCATAACTGGTATACTGCTAAAGACGATACAAGCCAATAGGTATTTAATTCTCATTTTATAAAATGTCTTACCGTTTGTCTCACGATGCAGTCGCCTGAGATGTAAAGCGCGACTTTTGGCTGCTTTCTGCCAGTCTTTATCACGCGGCTAAGTCGACTGATCCTTTTTCACCGTGTGTATCACTTTGGTCAGCTGGGCTTGATGTTTTCTTCAATGACATGCCTCCTACAGGCTGCAGTATTAGTCCAAAAAGTGTCGTATTTGTCCAATAACATTCGGCCAAGCTCCTGTATTCCCCCTAAAAGAAATTGAGAATCCCTTTCAGCGCTTGTTTTCGTTTACCGCGCGACTTGACTATACAGTAAGCTCGCCCCGTCTTCCTTGAGAAGCTTGAGAGTTAAGACCCAACATAGAACTTACTTAAACAATTGAGGTCAGGATCTAATGTTGTGGAAAATGATCTTTGACACACCACTTACTGGGTAGATTATTAAAGCCACATTGAAAACAAAGTGTAAGAATACCTGTATAGAACAGAATCAATACTTTGAGCTTTCTTGTTATTTTAGGCTGGAGAACGCAATGCAGCTTGTTCGTTTGTTTCACCAAATGCACCCCGATGAACCTTCCGCTGAATATATCGCTTCTAACCAGCTGAGCGGGTTTGAAGAACTTTGGGTAAGTCTAGGGTGATGTGGTCATGGAAATAATCAGACACCAATCGTTGCGTGTTATTAGAGTATTTTATCGTTTACATTCAGGAGACTTGCAGCATTTTTCTCTAAGAGTGGATTTCTACTTTCGCGTAAAATTTACGCGCCTAAATAAAATATAGGGGATATATGAAATTCGCCCATAAACGTAAGAGTTGAGCGACGTTGAAATTTTACGTTGACGTGCGACCTTCCACAAATTGCCTCTATTTTATTTACGCGGGTAAAATATTACGTGACAGTGGAAATCCTCTTTCCGTCAGTCAGTAATAATAGAATAGAGGAAATTATTCTGAAAAGGAAATCATTCATGTTTCTAGTGACCGTTAAATTTTATGAAGTTCTTTTAATTTCTCGGTTTGAAGATAAACACTCCTTCTCGTGTTTGATATCACATAAAATGCTTACATCTTAACTACCAACGTCACTTGAGCGCAGTAATTAAGGTATAGTCCTTGAAACTAAGAGATACGTTTGGGAGCAAGTTATCTTTGTAAGTTACCTTTTAATTTTTCTCCCCAGTACAATGTACATTCTAATTGCTCCGACCTTACATAGCCAGAATATCTCCACATCATAGGCTAAAGATTATTCACTTTATCCCCGAGAGCGCCAAGAAAGAAAATAAGATGTAATGCTGTAAAAGAGTTTGCACCGATGGGGAATAGTTCTTAAGAGGATTTATTTGGACAACCAAACCAAAGCAAAAGAATTTGAATCACAACCTGAAAATTTGGAACCTATGTTACATGTTCCCTTGGCTAGTCCCAGACCCTCTTGGTCAGTGCATTTCGGTGACGGACCACGCGACTCGAAACGCATTTCCCGCGCGGAATAATGAGGCCTTGGGACTAGGCAACATGTTGCCGTGATCAATTCTGAGCGCGCCCTCGAAAAATTGGCCGAATTAGTGTCCGGTCTCGGCTCTTCTAACAATAAACTATTATTTTAAATAATAAAGAAGTCTTGTTTTCTCACAGAATTTCCTGGAGATGCACGGCATGCTAGAGGCATGTCTACCGTTTCTTCCTAAGATGGAATATGAGCAAGAAGAGGAGTATACAGAACAGCAGTCCCAGTCCCTTCTGGTTGAGAAAACCGAGGTAACTATGGAAGAGACTGGTATCGAAGGACAACACGAAACCTTTAGTATTATGTTGACAGGCGACTGCAGTGTGGAGTTTCCGCTGTAACAGAACTATGAACACTGGGATAAATTAAGGTACTGCAGTTATATGCAGTGTATATTTCATCAATCGATATTTCAGTAGTTCCACATTTTTAGTGGAAAACTCCTGATACAAGGTTTATAATCCTTCCAAAAGAACACTCGCTATAATAAATCACTTCATTATTTATTCAACAGTACTTTTCATTACAAAGAAATTTGAGCTTGAATTATAAAAAGCGAGTTCTAAATAAATAACCATTAAAAAAGATATTTACAAACATGATTGAGAAGGTATGAAAATATTTATAACAAAAATATACAGTTTGCCATTTAAATATAATATGACCAACATGATCTGTTATTAATAATATTCAACTTTTCGTGCTCTTCCAGTCAACGTTGTTGTTCTTTGTGTCGTTAAGTCTTCACAAAGAGTTAATGGTTTTTTTATCGTACGTTCTATTGGTCAACAAAGATTGTATGTAAACACAAAGATGGATTGCGAGATCTAGAAGAATAGAAGACGGACGCGTGAATTTGGCAAACAGATCACTAAAACTTTACAATAAATATTTTTCGATGATTTTCTGTTTCTCGTCCGGACTTGTAAAAATGAATCAATTCCTTGGAATGTGACTGCGGTATGTAAGTACTATATTTTGTTCAAGAAATCGCTGAGAAAGATAAATATAATCAAATCTCTCTAAAACGCGTCATAATATAATACTTATAAGGGAGCTTGAGCAAAGACGTTTTTGAGTGATGCTCGTCAACGTGTAATGAGGTCTTTTCCCTTTTAATATGCCTTGACGCTACCAAATTTGAATTGCTAACCGTCTCTACTCTTATAAAGACGATTAGCCCGCACGTTTGGGCAAAAACAATGTCTAAGAATGCAAAACGTGCACTTCCAGTTGACATGCGTCGCTCAAAAATCTTCTTTGTAAGCTCCCTATATTCACTAATGTAACCTGGTGTTCTTGCGACACGAGTTGATTACAAGAGGTCAGCCAGCCTGCAAGCAAGCTCTCAACGAATGGGAAGGACAAGAGAGCATCACTGCACCCTCTCCTGGCCCCACCCAAATACCCAACTGGGAGAACTTACGTGCGGGCCAACACTTGGCTACATGATGGTACAAAGAGAGCTGGTGATTTTCTCAGTCCCTAGCTTATGCCTTCCTTCGGTCCCTTCTCTCTGAGCCCTCTTACCCGAAGACCCTTTAGAAGCTTTCATTCCATTCTCCTTGGTTCCTTTCCCAGAGTCTGAACTTGTTGTGTTTTTAGTCCCTAAAGAATCGCTTGAATTTCCTCGTGGAACCCTGACACCTGAGGATACTGAAGGGCACGGTGCTACCGCACGGGACGGTCGCATAATTCGGCATGGCCGTGCATTGCGCATGTCTTGTGTGGTTTTCCGCATTATCTCGTCAACTGAAACACTATCCGCACCGATCTCTGCCGTCTTTCGGGCAAGTTCCAACTGTGTTTCCAAGTGTTTTGCTCGCTGTTGAAGTCGCTTGCTCTCGTTTTCAGAGACACCAAGCTGAGAAAGAGAAAAAAGAACACTATGTTAATCCAAGATGACACTGTAATCACAGAGAAAAAACCTTGTTAGGCGAACTTTCCATGGAAACTCTCTATATCAACAAGGTAGCGTTTACTCAGAGTTTGATTTCAGATAGCAAGGCCGTGACTCGCCCCCTACTAACGTGGCTTGGGTTCGACTCAAACCGGTGTTAACTTACATTTGGGTAGAATTTTACTGGTTATTTCCCTTGCTTTGATTAATGTTTTTGATTTATCTGCCTTCTCAATCAACCAACACTTACAAATTATCATTTAATCTTTTAAACGAGTTGTTAAAAGCTTCTTCGGCGTTTAGTGGCTACACAAATCATATTGCGAGTAAACTGCAACCATGAGTGTCTAAACACTGCTATGACCGCGCGAATGTTCGAGCCCTATCAGAACAAGCAAACGGTACACGATTATCAGGTTTCTACAAAACCTGATTATGGTCATTAAGAACCTCGAGAGTAATCTCTACAAGTCAAATACCTTCTCTCTGAGCTCTGTGAGCTCTTCATCTTTATTTTCACATGCTTTCTTTAAAGTAAAAAGTTCTTCCAGGAGCTGGCGATTCTGTGACTTCACTTCCTCTATTCTAATATCAACTCCTTTACTGCCGACACTTGCTCGACTGGCGCTCCTGCGGAAAGTTTAAAAAAGAATCATTTTAATGGACTTACTTCCAATTGCAAAACCGTTGTCATAGAAAAATGAAAAAAGGAAAAAGGCAAATAGGAATTAATTTATTAGGCTTATCATTCTGATGAATTCATTTGCAGCTTCCGCACATGGACGTAGTACATTTGCTGGTTGGAATTTGCTATTGTTTTAAAGCTGAAAAACAATAAAAAAAAATTCCAGCGGGGAAATGCAACGGCTGCAAAGGAATCCACCCTAAGAATGTGGCATAATTGGCCTAAATAATTCCTATTTGGCTTTTTCCATTTTTCATTTTTCCAAAGCCATGTCCATCACACGAATCCGGCCATTTTTGAACCGCATACTTTTTATCTGGATTCGTGTGGACGGGACCTTAAACCGCTCTGGAGAGAGTGTCTGGATTCACTGGCTTCGTGTGGACAGACTGGGCCGATTCGTGTGAAAAAGTATGCGGTTTCAAAAATATCCGGATTCTTCTGGACGTACCCTAAGGCAACGTTATTGTAATTAGGTGTAACTCTGTCAGCCGTAAACAGCGTTTTCACATGACGTCACTTCACCTATATTGTTATTATCACTAGAGGTAATCATTGATTACGGATCCGCGTTCGTCACTTACGAAAACGAAATCGGGTCAGAAGGAGTGTCGTTTCCCGGCCGAGATGCCCCTGATAAAATTAATAGAGGCGGCTAATTTGCAGTCGCCCGTGATAGCTCGAAAATTTTTGCCTTTGTGCCACAGGAACACCAGATTAGGATGCGTTTTGACGACCACGATTATATTGGTTTCCCGAAATAATAAAACAGCGGCCATGTTGGTGTTCCAAAACAATCCTGTGCGAGTTAAACTCTCTTCTTATGTACAAACTTTCTTTTGTTCCAATAAATTTACATAGCCCATAAAAACGCTCTGTTATCGAAATGTGTTTCCTCCGCACTGTTTATCACTCATTTCAAGTAACAAAGAAAATCATGATATTAAATTGACTAAATATTTATTTGCTTATTTATTTCCAATACAAATTTGGTAACTCCCTCATACCTTGTTTTCAGGGGAGGGGTTGATGGTGAGTATACATACCTTGATCTCAGGGGAGGGGTGGAGACCACCATGTCCTCCTCAGAACTATCACGTATCAGTTGATGTTTATTTAGAAGCTTTGCTTTTTTCGCCTCTAGTTCCTTAGCTAAAACGTCCAGTTCCTATAACGGAAAAAATAACATAACCTTGCCGCATTACGTACGTTACATTACGTAGAAGATTTTTGCGAGTTTTGAACGTAAAACCAATTTACGAGATCTTACGAGTGAGTCAATAATGAAAACGTTCTGCAGTTCTAAATTTTCAGTCTGTGGATGTAGTCCTGTGATTTTGCCATTTTACACGAAAACTGTTCGGAAGAAGTCTTTCTTTTTCAGTGCCTTACTATCTTACAAGGTTAAGGAACAGCACTTTTAAAGACCGTCGAACAAGATTGCATCCCAGAGACGTGCGACCTCTTTTTGCTCATCCTTATATGTTTGTGGAAGAAGAGTTTCAGGAGAATAGACAACTTACGTTTTGTAAAATATTTAAATCCTCTTCTTTACTGTTACACACATTGTGGCGCCTGTTTAAGTATTCTTCGTATTCACGAATCTGTAACGTGATAAAACAAGCCCATTAGAAATAGCAATTACAACGGGAAGTTCAGCAAGTATTGCAGAAGACCTACCCTAGCTAAAAAGCTCCGTTTAACGGGACCGGAAAAATCCAGTACTCAGGGCATACTAACCATTATAATTGGATCTGAACTTATGGTTACCTTGACACCTTTTTAACCTATTGTTACTAACAAAACGAAAACGGTTGTAGCTTGCTCCAACTCATCTCGTGCGTTTTGCCGCGCACGATGTCTTCAACACTTCCTTTCGCTTCTGACTAGTTCATTAGTGTGATTGCGAAATATTTCTCAAAAAACAAAAGCAGAGAAACATATTTGTGTAATTTTTTCAGTGAAACGAATCAAACCTTTTTTTTACCTCTTTATCTCGATCCCGAACTTCTTGTGTTCTTTGATTGAGTTCTTTTTCCATTTGGGTTATTGACGCCTGCATAGAGAATATGAAATAGTTATCTTAAAATGAACTTTACAAACAAAGCTAAAATATTCAAAATGACTTAACTTAAAAGTCCAATTAGTGTAATTTAAAAGCATCCTGAAAAGATGGTGTTGCCCTTACAACAAGAAATAATTACCACATCTGAACTAATTTAATGCATCTCCAGTTGTTGAACTACGTAACAGAATTTCTGTACCTCGTGTTCATAATATCTTTGTCTTCTCTCCTCAAGCTTCTTTTCATTTCTAAATTCCTCTAGCTCTTCTTCAAATTGTTTCCTAAAAAAAATTAATCAGTTTTCTTGAAACAATAGCAAAAAACAAATTGTCGATTTATTTTCCACAGTACAAATATTCGCTAATTTAACCGAATTTTACATAAAATCAAAGTAATTTCCTGGTGACCATTTAGACAAAAAAACTTCTTCTCTTCCTCCTTTCCTTTCCTTCGGACATAATTTTCTTGACTCCTGCCGTGGGAAACGCATGGCGAAAAACGCTGAAAAAATTTGTAAAGTACCCGTGGTTACCTTAGTGACAAATTTCCACATGCATTTACCAGTCAATTTGAAATGGTTTAGCCTTTGTCTCTGGCCTTTTTACTGAAATTGCGGCATGCTTAGCACGATTTCTTCGTCCTCTACAACTTACGCATCAAAGACTTTTCTGTGCATTAAAACTGATTACAATGACGTCACAAGTAGTACAACGATCGTGGTACAACACAGGCGGTTACAGGTGTTTCAAGAATAAAAAGTGTTAGACTTTCTTCAAGGAGGTTCTGAGGGTGTCCACACAGACAATTAGAACTGGTTCCCAAGATTGTTCGACCAAGAAAAAGGTCAGTGTATTGATAATTAACTCTTTGTTGCATGCGGTCATGTCTAGTATACATTGCGCTGGTGCCGGTTATTTTTTTTAAAGGCCACGCGAGGGGAACACGCGAAGGGGAGGGGCCTCCTCTTCTTTTCTCTCCTCGCGCGTCCTTGAGATTACTTCCCTAGCGCTAAAAAAAAAACCAGCGCCTGCTACGCAGGCTAACATTGCGCTTACTTTTGTTCTTCTCTCCGCCTATCAATATCTGCCATTTCGGTTATATACTGCCGTCTTCTTTGCTCTAACTCTAGTTGTAGCTTATTCATCTGTAATAAAAGCAAAACAAACCATGATAATTTATATGCCAGACGCTGATAAAAGGTGGGTCTTTTTTCTCAATGAATAATATTGTGGTATTACGTATCAGAGTTTCTGTAGAAACTGTTTTACTCTTTCCACTTGGTTACTGAAAATGAAGGTTTACTGCAAACTTTGTTGTCTCCAGGTGGGGAAAAAACCTGGATGTCCATGTCACAGGAGGCTTGAACCTTAGGAGCTCTTTACGCAAAATGGGGAAAAGATTATATCTGTGTAAATTACTACAGCTGCATGTCAGTACACTCTACTGTCAACTTGCATAAGTGAACCTCCCTCTAAAGGCACGGTTTTATTACACAACTTTAAATTTCCTTAAGTTCAATACCTCTTGGTTAGTTTCCTGTCTGGCTTTCTCAAGTTTTAAGGTCATGCTGCTCATCTCCTGCTCAAAAGAATCCCGCCTCTCTCTGAGAGATGACTCCATCTCAAGAATCTGCATGTTTTGAAATGAACAAAATGACGAGTAAACTAAAATTAAGGCATTAAGTCTAAGTTGTGTTAAAATCACTCAAAACGGTATAAAATCAGTGGCGGATCCACCCCCCTCCCCCCCCCCCTTATTTTTAGACCAAACTGAGGCCCAAAGGGCTGAAAAAATTTTTTTGTGGACCTTTTATCTCAAGGTTTGGATCTGGCACTGAAAATGTACTTACAGTGACAGACAAATAACAAATGTGTGAGACTCACCCCAGGGCCAAGATGTTCATAGCTATGAGCTTACTTTCAACTGAAGTACGTTGAAACTAGTCTGTGTACAGACGACGCCTTTTTTAAGTGAGGGAACGGTGTGTCTGTACACAGGCTACGTTGAATATGGTGAAACCTTTTTCATCCCTTTTAAGCCCCACTATCCACATACAAAATCTCCAAACTGATCTCCATACATTTTCTTTAAAACCTAGTTGAGAGAATTTCAAAACATTTCCCTTTGGTGATCATCATCTCATAACAGTTTTTAACCTTTTATTTTGATGATGTATGGATATTGTGTTGAGAAAATTGATGTGGCACACTTAACCCTTAAGCCGACACCCACAGAACAGTGACTAGTGTCACATAACAAAGGTGCCTGCTAAAATTATACAGGTTTGTTTTACAGAAAATATGGGAAGAATGGTGTGAAACTTACACTCCTATCATTTAAATACAGAGTGTGTACTTAATATGGGGGTCACTTGATACAAGTTTTACTGTTAATCTTGAGATAATGGCAAATTAATGTGATAAATATTTATACTGTACTTGTACGTTGTAAATGTGCCTGAAACAATCTGATGCATCAAGCAGTCAAATAGGCTCTCTTGCAGCCATTTTTGTCATGTCACACAATGCTCCTCCCCAACAAACTCGGGAGGAGTATTGTGTGACTAGACAAAAAATGCTGCAAGGGAGACTAGCAGTGGAACTGCATTTTTACATCTCGCACTAAAGCTATTTCAAACATGTCTCACCTGTGTTTTGAGGTCAGGCAATCTTTTGTCCTCATATTTATCATTCTTAGTGTCTTTGTGATCAAGTGTTCCATTAGTCATATTTTCTTCAGTAGTCCCATTGAGTCCAGTTATTATATTTGTGGTGCCTTTTAATGTCACTGGGTTTTTGCTTGTATTTGAAACAGTACTGTTGTTGTTAATCTCAGAAGAAGGATTACTTTTATCAACTAAATAGCCATTTTCTAAAATAGAGTCTTCTTCACTAAGTTCAGGATCATTATTGTCAGTCGATTCCTCATCGCCGTCATTAGAATTGTCATCATCACCATCACTTTCATCACTATCATCATCATCATCATCCTCATCTTCATAACTTTCACTGCTTTGAAAGTTATAATCTACAAAATTAATATTGTTCATGAGGCTGCTCTCATCATCTGATGACTGAGCATAACTGTAAAAATGTTCCCTGTTTCGTTCCATGTTAAACCGGACTTGTTTCTTGACTGGAGCACCCTTTACAAAAAAGGAAAACAAATGGAAATTAATACACATGTAGTGAGTAAGTTGATGCTGTAGTTAAATGTTTTATTCCTGGCCTTATTTCAGATCCTTTGATGGTCACAGTAACAGAGTTTCCCCATGCTCTACTTTTGGCATAACTTTACCTTTCGAAAACCATTTTTTGATGTCTGTATTTTGTCAGCTTCTTCGAGCAGTGTGTCCAGTTGTGAGTCTGAAGAGCACTATAAGAAAAAGGGTTAATATTATTGACTTCTGTAGAGTTTTCTGCATTAAACAGCTGCACGTCTCATCATTTACACAATAATGTAATGTATTTTGTAAAACAATGATAAAAAGCATTTCTAGACTAAACCCCAAGCAAACTATTACACAGATCTGAAATTGTACGTTCATTGCAGACACCAAAACATTGTTTTTAAATGAGTAACATGAGTGTTAGTGTTACTGTTAGGACAAACAGGGGTAACTAACCTCTGAGGAAGAGCGGTATTGCCGGCCAAGAAATTCAAAGTCTCCATTAAGAAGTGGCTTGTGATTTAAGATAAGAGGATCCTTTACCATTCCACGGGTGGTTTTATTGTAACCCTAAAAATGGCAAATTATACGGGATTGTTAAAATTATATATTTATTACTATGCTACTAACAATGTCTAAGAACTAAGGGTAAGTTAATATACATGTATTAACCTGATTAAGAATTTTGAAGCTAAACAAAGACTATTCATTCTCTACATGAATAGAGGTGCAAATGGTTATTCTAAAAAATCATGGATTTAGGAAAGCTAAATCCAAAACTTAGATCAGATCGCATATAATACATGCATCTTAGAAGCAGTTACCGTAACATTCCGAAAATAAGCCCCAGGGCTTATATTTTTCAAGGGCCCTTTTTGAGGGGCTTATATTCGGAGGGGTTATGTACAGATGGAAATTTACGTTTAGAAATTGATTGGGTTAGCCTTATTCTTGGTAGGAAACTTACCGTTTTTCTTTGTTTTACTTTGTATTTGAGGGTGATTTCCAAGTACAAGCCCCCCGGGGGCCTTAAATTTGGAGGGGTTTATACATGGAGGGGCTTAATTTCAGAATTTTATGGTACTATAAAATCAGTCTTGCATTTTGTGCATGTTTCTTCCAATATTGGAGTCTTAAACTTTTCCTCCGCAGAGTGGGATTTTTAACAAGGATCTCAGCATTTCAGCAGGTATTGAATTTATATTCCACCTCCGAACAGATATCAGTAATGACTGGCCAAATGGATTTCATCTCAAGTAAGTAACAGGGCGCTATCATGAGGTCAATAGCTACATAGCCAAGCAGGTCAAAAACAAAGGAAAGGAAAGTGTTTTAAGATTGAAATGAAAATTTAATATCAATGAACCAAGAATTACACGTAGCAGTGCAAGCTGCGCATAAAAAAAACATTTTAACTCTAATTAACATCTTTGCATGCACAAGAGAGACCATTATTTATTTCCCACTTAAGATGCATACAACTATTCATCATTTCTGCCAATACAACTAGTCAGGAAGATTTCTGCAAGCTTGTTTCCGTTAGAGTTAGTCCAAAAACAAAGCAATAGTTTTAGAATGCTATTTTGAAGTCCTCATAATTATGTATATCGACAAACGCTTTCATTCAATATGAGCTTTCTTAATTTAATACCACAGATCAGACGACTTCACCATTTTCATAATATAAACTTAAGTGCTTTAAAGTCTGTACTTACAACGTATCGTTGTGAATAAGAACGATTTTTGCACTAAAAACTGATACTCAAGGCTTAAAAAAATAACGTTGTTTATTTATCACACAGACAGCTCTTACGCCTAATTTCAGATCTTTTGACTCACTCCAATATAATTCTCATTTCTTTCAATGATCATCTTGCTCAAATTACCATGACAAAACGTGTCACAATTGCAGGTATAGAAGAGTGGATTTTATCGCTAATATTAACAATAATATCCCCATGTACTACTTCTAGGACTGTAGAGATGGTAAATGGTAGCGAGAATAGTTCAATAGCTTGAACACAAAGAAAATGCCCTCGACCCTGTCAAATTCTGTGCAAGGAGTGTGACAGAACGACATAACTCACATCGAGAGCACCGTTTACGTTGTCAACAAAAAATATTAGAACCCTTTTACACACTATCACAAGATGATTCTTTCCACAGAAGCCATCCAATAATTTCTTTTCATTAAAAATGACATGTCTTGGTAGTTAAATATATGATATTTCAAAGTACGAATTCTTCAAAAAGTAAACAATCGTGGATTAGGAGCGCGCGAGTTGGCGAAATCGACGACACTCACAGAGCGGGAGCGTTAATATAGCTTTCAGGAACTTGGTTGTATTCGTGTATAAATTATTAGCTTGAAATATCGTAACAGCAAGGAAGCCCTATATCTGATGATGGATTAAACTAACCGAAAAAAATTGGACCGTAGGGCACGATGTCTCATGTACGCTAAAAAGCTACATGATCGGAATTGGCTCTCTATGAAGCCAAGCAATTTCAAAACAAAGTTAGATCGAACGATCGCCTTAAACCAACCAGCCCTTTTTATCGTTACTTTAACCAACCAAGAAGGAAAATAAAAGTCGATGACTTATAACAATATTTTCACAGCACGTCAACATCAACCTCTAACTTGTTCTCCTGCTACCAACGTAAACCACAAAAGTACAAGGCACAGCCAGCCAGCCAGCATACCTGGGTTGCCCCTTGAGATTTCATGCCGGGTTTTCGTTCATCTTACATTACAACTTAATACAATTATTTCTGAAACATACCTGACTATAATCTGCTTTCCTTTCCATTAAAACTTCACCCATTTCAACCATACTGGGTGCGTATTTAGCCCATATTTCACCGGTAGAGGTGACGGAATGGCCGTCCGCGATGCTTTCTTACACGAAGTACTGGTATGTCCAATTATGATTTGTCAGCCATGGCAACCAACCAATTGACATTGGACAGATCTTGATGACTGCAAGTACCTGCAACAAATAATTGGTCTCATCACCGTTTTTGAACCCAAAAAACACGATGATTGCTTATAATTTCAGGGTCGTATGACGGATATTTTCCTGGAAAAGTAAGCAGTTTTCTAGAGGAATTATCTCAGCGTAAACGTACAAAGTTCGTAGGCTATCTAAAATGATAAAGGTAATAAAACAATAACAATCAATAATAATGAGGTAAAAATCAACATACCTTCCAACGTAGACCAGTAGACGGCGGATATAATTAAAATCTTATTCAAAAATTAAATTAGATTGAGTCCGTGGAAAAGCAGTTTTTGATTTACCCCAATAGACCTTGTCACGGTTTTCAACGCCATCTTGACGAGTAGGCAAACGCGTGAGAAATTACAGTGTTTGTATGAGAATGTAATGTCGAATAATTTCCGTAAAACGGCTGTTCTGCAAAAAATATCTATTGTAAACTAAAGCTACAAAGCAAAGGATTGTCCTAAAGAAGTTGGGGGATGTACCTGTGCTTAAATTTCTCCAGAGGCCTGCTTTAGATTTTCGATATATTTGTCTGTAATTTTCTCGGGACTTTCTAACAGACAAATGTATAGAAAATTGTAAAAAGTGATTCTAGGTCTTTTAGTGCATGTAACGCCCTCAAATTTTTTCAGGAGAATCCTTAGGAGTGAAGCTTTAGTTTACAATAGATATTTTTTTCAGAACAGCCGTTCTACGGAAATTATTCGACATTAGATTCTCATACAAACACTGTAATTTCTCACGCGTTTGCCTACTCGTCAAGATGGCGTCGAAAACCGTGACAAGGTCTATTCGTTGACGGAGCAAAAGAAAATCATTGGAACATCGTGTGTTACAAAAAAAAGAACTGCTTGATTTCTGGTAATATTAAAAATAAAATTGGGAGAGATAAGAATTGTTTCATGGAAAGTGGCTTGAGATAAGCGACTTGTGGATGGGATGGCTGCCCAACAGAATCGAAACAGAAATTTGGTAGCTATTATTATTACTCAAGATTCCTACAGCAGACATCACGAGGTAGATCATCGAAGAACTGTGAAGTCTAGCAAGGAACACTTGAACAAACAGCAGCGAAGAAAAGCCGGATGACAGTTCTTGAAAGCCCAGGATTACCCTGCGTACGGTAGCAAACCTTTTTAATCGATTTATTGCGTGAAAGTTGAAGCCTTCATTTAATACCCTTTTTTACTCTCGTCCCAACAGTTGTGGACGAAGTCACACGGCACTCGCGCGGGAACGCTTGCTGCGCAGGCCAACTCCAGGATCAGCAATATAGAATAAAGCTTTAAATTAAAGGCAAGGGTGATCGGACAGCAATGGATGGGCAATTTATTTGCCAAGTTTTTCGGTTAGGCAAAACAAATATTCATCAGGGGCTAGAAAAGCTACTGAACTAGCCCTCATGAAGGTTTTATACCAGAAACCGGAAGTGTAATTAAAAGGGCAACCTTTAAAGTGTCCTTCAATCATCACCCGACGTCGCGTTGTATGAAACTTTCGGCTACTTTTCACTATGAAAATGTTGGAATAAAGATTTCTTAGTTTTTACTTCGGATATTTTCTTTTTTTTTTCTCAGGGATGTGCGAGCGTCGATTGATCATGTCAAAACAGTGCAGTAGCTATCAAAAAGAAAGGTAAGTCCAGACACTTGACACACTAACCTCGTCTACTAGATGAAGATACCTCATCAAAAATGCTGATGATAGCGTTTCACTGAGCAGTCTGGGTAAGACCCAAGGGTATATAGAGGATTCTCAAAAGGGTTCTTCAATCCCGTCATGCCGACCCGAATTTTCGGTCAATCCCGTAGTCCCGTGAATACTTTCAACTCTCGAATCTCGCCCCCATTTTGCTTTGAAATCCCGAATCCCAACTTTCAAGTAAGGGAAATCTCAGATCCCGAAAAACCTATTGGGGACTCTCCATATATCGATTGAGTTGACACAGAAGAGAATAATGGGGTCTGGAATTCTCACTTGAGTTTATTGGCTCTGTAACGCTACAAACCTTAAATGTGCAGTGTACAAGTATTCACCCGTCACCCATCCTCTTCGTGTCTCGTGGCACAAAAGGCCTCTAGTTTCTGTAATAAAAATATGAAACGGCAAACTGATCCTTACCGCAAGGCGATGAATTAAAAGAAGGAAGTTAAAACAAAAGAATAAAACAAAAAATATATATATTTAAACAAATTGCAAATTTACCTCTTCATCGCCTTGCCGTAAGGATCAGTTTGCCGTTTCATATTTTTTCTACAAGTTTAATTGTACTGATCCATGTCTACAACTGGGAGATCCGACACCACTCATTGTTTTGTTGCTGTGGACTTGCCAACGTTTTATATGTTTCTGTAATAACAGGGTTTTACGGGAGAGGGTTAGCATCCCTCAGCCCAACCCCCGACCTGGAGGACCAGGGGACCAAGCTGAACTTGTCTCTTTCCTTCAACCTGTTCGGCATAGGTGGCCCTACCGGGAGTCGAAGACCCGCAAACCACTCCACCACGGTAAAGTGGTGATCCCTTCGGACCGTGTACAAGCGTTACCAGCACAAAAATTTATGACGATCATATGAGAGGTCTCATGATAGACTTTGAGCCATAATTCAGGTTTATATTTTTGCTTATTTTAGTTGTAGCTCAGAGAACGATTAAAATTCAAGACATCTTATATATTTGTACTGTCAAATTGTGACACTAAAATATCAACTGAAACGACGACTTAGCCTGAGTATCAGGCCTTCCTAAGGGGCTTCCATCTTTCCCCTTTTCGCCCAGAAACGCCTGATACTCAGGCTACGACGACTTGAAACCAAGTCGATGTGGTTGAAGTTTTTGCCCTCCTCAGACCGTGTGATCCAGATTTCGATAGGATGTCTGCATCAGGCAAGGTATCTAACTCAGTACTCCTGTAAAGAGGCATATGCATGATCAGCAAATGTCGAACCTATTGTTTTTCAAAAACGAGAGGTTCGACATTCGAGCCCATCTTTACTCTTGTTCGACAAGGTTCAATGTAGTGAATAGTCTGCTACACAGCCGTTTTTAGTGTCGTCACGAAACGCTCCTCCCCACTAGTGTTGGCTGTGTAGTAGGCTATGTAGTTAATGGCTTTTTAATATTCAACTTGTCAACATAGCATAATACAGTGTTCATCATTGAACAAAAGTTGTCGTGTGTTGTTGTGTGTCACTAGCTGTTTTATTCGGAAACGGAAGCTATTACATAATCTTGTTACTCGTTGCCTTTACTCATCCGTATGGAATCCGTAGGGATATTTTTTCCTGCGACAGAGCCATGCCACCAGATCTCCCCGGAGAGATTGCTCACAGTAGGAACCAGTAGGAAGGAAGACTGGGAACGAGGTTGGCTATTTTCAGTTAGACTAATAGTTAGACTGCAAAACAGCTTGTTTGTTTTCTTAGATTGTTGAGGTTATTTTTGTGTTATCGAAATATTGGACGATAAAATTTCCCGATTATTTGTCCCTTTTCATTCGGCTTCAAACACTCGGCAATCACGCCTAATAGACTTTTTGACTGAATGTGAATCTCACTATTAAAAGTGATATACTATTCAGTTTCCAGCCGTCACGCCTGCTAACTTTCACAAATCCTCACTGGACATAAAGGAATAGTAAAAAGTGTAATTTGTCAGGTTTTGGGATCATGAAACCAAAAAATTGTTTATTTTACTGAATACAATAGGCGGTATAGGCGTTTGGTTCGATCTGAGATTACATCAATGAAAAGTTATTTCCGAACGCAAGGCACAGTAAAACAAAGCGGATATGATAATGACGAAAACAATGGATATCTCCTGACACTGAGAAACCACTAATAAAGTTTAAGATCGCTGTATGGCGATGGGAATCACAATTTAGGATGATCTGGTCGAATCTGTGACTTGTGGAACATTAGCAAGGCAAAAAGAAAGAATAACAAAGCCGCAAACTGATCCGAACTGACGACAAAAAAGAGAAAGTCCAAAATAATACACAAATTTTTTATATTACTTCTTTTTTTTGTTTTAGCCTCGCTGAACGAAGCCTTGCATTTCAAACGAAACATCTGATGTATACTAAAAAATGTAACAGCAATAAAATTTGTAGACGAATTAGCGTAGAAAGATTACCATAAGTCGGCTATAAGAAGATTCTTTTCCGATCTTTTTGAGGTCCTGCTGAGTTTTTTGTTTCAAACAAAAAGATAATTGAAAAATATAATTACTAAAGAACCCATTCTAATAATAGGCAATATGTAAAACTTAGAACAAACCAGAAAGGCTCATAACAAAATTCCCCTTCCTATATTCTAACAACAACGATAACAACACGTTTCATTAAAGAAAAAATAAACATAACAACTAAAAGAAAAACAAATGTTGGGTAACAAAAATTTTTGCCGTTCATCTGACCCTCTTGGCGAATAAATTCAATTTTCGTACATAACTTATCGATTTCTGTTAGCTTGGACGTAAAAACTAGAACTTTAACATATATTGCGGAACTTTATTATTAATATTATTATTATTATCATTACTTCATTATCATTATTATTAGTAGTATTTCCATGTTTTTGTCCTCGCTAAAGGAAAATTGAAAAAGCCTTCATGCTGTCTAGCGGAAATGACTATCCTCAAGGCTCAAGTTGAATAAGGAAGCTTACTTCAAGGAGGCAACAAAAGAACTTACTTTTTTAAAAAGTTAAGACACGAAGTCATGGATCTCTTCCTGTGTAGCTGGCTGACGGCATAACCTGCGAAAACAACCATCTCTCCTCGTTTCTCGCCGCTTTCCTAAGCTCCGCCGAGAAGCGAGAAGAAACGGCTGTTTTCGCAGGCTACTGACGG